TATATATAGTCATTGTGGAAAAACTTACATAAAACTTAATTTCCTAACCATTTTTTAAAATCTGTCTCTTATTTTTAAAAAGATTTTCCTGTGACTTGAGAGATAGTTTACAAGCGAGAACATCAGTTTTGCACTCATCCTATGCATCATTACTCATTACTCATCAGTATTTGCTTCTATTCTATTCCCTTTGTTTTTTATGTACACAAAAACCGTTAGGAATATAGAATCATTTAAACAACCCAAGGGCACATTCTATGAGCCCGACTCCTGGCCGCCAGCACACAGCCTTTCTCTTTTCCATGAATCTAGAGTCTTCAGCCACTCTCTCTCTCCATGTCATCACCAGTATTAAAGTGTATAATTGAATGACATTAATTCTCTCCACAATATTGTACAACCATCACCACTATGTATTTCCAGAACGTTTTCATCATCCCAGACAGAAACTCTCCCCATTAAGTAATTTCTCATTTCCCCCAAGCAACCACACTAACCTACTTTTTGCCCTTTGCTATTGTTAGGGGCTGCTGACTTGGTTCCATCCCATAGCAACCCTCTCTGTACAACAGAAGGACACACTGCCTGGTCCCACCCCATCCTCACAATTGCTGCTATGCTGAGCCCATTGTTGCCACAATTGGGGGGGGTCTCCCTCTTTTTTGCTCTGGTAGTGTAGTGGTTATGAGTCGGTGGCTAACCCTAAGGTCATCATTTCGAAACTACCAGCCGTTCTGTGGGAGGAAGATAAGGCTTTCTGCTCCCGTAAGTATTTCTAGCCTGGGAAACCCTATACAGAGATGCTGAGTGGGAACCGACTCCATGGCGCACTAAAGTGGTGACTTTACCAAGCATGATGTCCTCCTCTAGGTACGGGTCCCTGCTGATAATAGGTCCAAAGTATGAGCGTCAAAGTCTGGTCATCTTGGCTTCTAAGGAGCATTCTAGTTGTACTTCTTCCAACATAGATTTGTTTGTTCTTCTGGCAGTCCATGGTACCTTCAATATTTTATCTCCATAGATTTCCCTGTCCGGGACATTTTATACAAATGAAATCATGTAATATTTGCCCATTTGTGCCTGGGTTTTTCAGTTTCACTGTTTGTTAAAGTGTAGTTGAGTTGGTTCTGACTCATAGCGACCCTGTATAGGGTTTCCAAGGAGGAGTTTGTGGGTTTGAACAGCTAACCTTGTGGTTCATAGTTCATTGCATCATGAATTCAAGGTTCATCCATGTAGAATGTACCAGACTTTTTTTTTTTTTTTCCTTTAATTGTGATAAAATGTATCCTTGTGATGGTTGATTCTCACTGCGGATGGCCATAGTAGCACTGCTCCCCAGGTCTTCTTGGCTGTAATATTGATAGAAAAGGATCATCAGTCCTTCTTCCCATGGAGCTGCTAGGTGGGTTTGAACAGCCTACCTTTAGGATATTAACCAGTGCAAAATTGTGTGCCAATGCAGGGACCTTGTGTTATTGTTAGGTGCGCTGGAGTCGGTTTGGACTTTGGAGAACTGGCCCGTCGGGTTTTCTAGGCTGTCATTTTTTGGGAAACTTATCACCAGGTCTTCTGTGCAGCCGTTGGGTGGGTTTGAACCTTGGACATTTAGGTTAACAGACATCACATTAAACTTCCTGACTTGACTATTTTTACCTGTACCAGTAAGTATCATTCACATTCATCTATTTTGATGGCTGAAGAATATTTCATGGTATGAACGTATCGTACTGTGTTTATCATCCTTTCACCAACTGGTGAATTCTTGGATTGCTTCCACCTTTTGGCTCTCCAGGCTACTATATATATTTAGTGATAAATGATGGCTTTAATAATTTAATGATGAATGATGATTTTACCAGGCGGGGTCCAAGCCACGCAAGGCCACTATGGTCTCGAGCGGGGTTCGAACTGGCGCCAACCGTCAAAAAGGCAAGGTCTCCCCGGGACCCCGCTTCCGGCTGGCGAGGGCGTCCGAGGGCAGAAGAGGGCGGGCGAGCCCACGGGGCGGAGCCGCGGGGGGTGGCGTTGCGAGGTGGGACGGGTCGGGTGGCGGGCACGCACCGCCTCCTGGCGCCGGGCCCCCCCCGCGCGCGCGGGGAGTGGTTGCGCCCGGCCCCCGGCTCATTGTGCTCGCCTCACGCCGGCCCAAGATGGCGGCGGCGCTGGAGGCCAGGGGCCTGTGACCACAAAGAGGGAGCCGGGGGCCGGACGGGAGCGCGGCGGCGGCCGAGGCCGAGGCCGAGGCCAGGCCGGGCCCCCTCCCTCAGTCTCCCGCCCCGCCCTCCGCCCTCCTGCCCCTCCCCCCGGGCGCCCGCCCACCCCTCCCCCAACCGCCCGACTAGCATGGTGCTGTGGCCGCGCGCGCCGACATGGGCGAGAAGCTGGAGCTGAGGCTCAAGTCGCCCGTGGGGGCCGAACCCGCCGTCTACCCGTGGCCGCTGCCGATCTACGTGAGTACCGCCAGACCCCCCAGCCCTCCGCGGCCCCCAGACCCCGCGACGCATGCCGGCTCGCCGGGCCCACCGTAGACCCCGAGTCGTATCCAGCCACAAACGTGCTGGAAACCCCCTCTTGGAGCCCCCGCGGGGTTCCCCGCCCCGTTTCCCAGCCCCCCGGGCGGAGTTTGGGGTGCGGGGACTCTGGGCCTGGGACGCAGAGGCGGAGACTGGCGTCCCGAGGCGCCGGGCTACCGTTGCCGGAGCGCGGACGGGAGCCCCCATTGCACCCCCGGCCACAAGTTTTTGGGTCTCGTGTGACATGAAGTTTTCCTCCGCGCGTGTGGTGTGCGCTGTCAAGACCCTCAGGGTGTTTTCTTTTTTTCCCCCCAATGTAATTCATTTCCAGCCACAGATCGGCCATTATTTATGGGGATCCCAAACGTGCCAGGCACCGCTCTCCGCCGAAAAGTTGTATATCGGACAGAACTCATCCTCGTTTTATTTTGAGGACACCCTTTCCTGTTCCCTTCCCCCCGTTGTTAATTTCAAACTAGAACATTTCCCTTCTCGCCCTGAGGACCGGCCTGATCCTGGCCAGTGTCAGGGCGCCGGGCGACCGGGTGGAAATTTACCGGGGCGGTACACGCGGGGGTCGGTGTCACGACTCCGGACCCCGAGGTGGGACGTGTGTGCGTCTCAACATCTGGGTGGCGATCGCCCCTGGGCGGCGGCGCCGTGGGCGCTAAGCAACGTGCCGGTGGAGTGGGAGAGTGACGCCAGCGCGGGGGCCGGCTTTCGGGGTGACTTTTCTACACGCTCCTGTGTTCCGCGGGGAGGGGGGTCGCGGGGGTGTCCCCGGAACCCGCAGGGGGGAAACCCGCACGTTCCGGGCTGGCGCGCCAGCGGAGCGTCATTTTGGAAACGTCTGGGCGGGGCGGGGACCGGCGTTGGCGTCTGGCGCTGCCGGCTTCTTGGAGAGCCGAGGTTTGGACGGCGCGGCTGCGGTTGGCAGTCGGGCTGCGCTGCGCGCCGGCCCTGCTATTTTTGCTCATCCTGCCGCGGGAGGCGAGGTTGAAGCCTGGGGCTCTCGCTTTTCCTGTCGGACAGCTCTGGGTGTGACCTGGGTGGGGGTGGGCGGGATGGGGGTGGGGGACAGTCAAGAGGACAGAAACTGAAAGTATAGGAGAAAGGACAGCGCGGTTTTTTTTTGTTTTTTTTTACCGGTTTCCAGGTTCAAAATCTAACCGTCCTACCTCTCTCCTCTGCGATTGTAGTACTCACCGTGTTAGACTTTCGCAGTTGTCTTAGGGTTCTGTGTGTGTGAAAATATGAACCCAACAGTATCCGGTATCTTCTCATTCCATTTCCCCCCCCCCGAAGTTTTGAAGCCCTCTTAACACCCATTTAACAATTTTTACAGGTACAGTCTCTGACAGTTACTACAGACTTCACACTGCCACGGTTCTCCCCATCTCAGCCATGTGTGTTTTCTTTTTTGTCATAGATTAGAGTGTATTCTGCTCTCAACTCATGTGTGTCCACCACCCTTAATTTAAGCCCCTTTTAGAGATACTGTTGCCCCTTTAAGCTCATGTCGATAGTTATTTTAAAGACTACAATACTTAAGGAGAACAGTGTTTATTTAGTGGTTTAAGGATGACTTCAAGGAGCTAGTTGCATTTCAAGACTTAAACCTTGTTTTTTTTTTCTGGCTGTAGGTTCAAGGGTTCCTCCAGTATCATTGTATCCAGTAAGTCTGGTTTCCATGAGTCTGATGTTTCTGTTGCACAGTTTTGCTGCGTTTTGAGCAGAGTCTGTGCGGAGCAGTACCTTAATTTCCTTTTGGAGGACACACAATACAATTCCATAAGTTCTGGCAGCGACATAACATCGGGTAGCTGCCACCCTCAGGTTACGAAGCAGTTCCTCTTCCCTCCATAGTCCCTTCTGCTCCCACTTGGTAGTTCTCCCCTTGTCCTTCCCCCTTGCAGCTCCTCTGACCCTGTTCTCTGTCCGTGTTGTCAGTTGCCATGGAGTCCATTCTGACTCATGACAACCCCGTGTGCAGAGGAGAACTGGCCTGCAGCTCTCCAGGCCTGTCTCCTAAGGCGGCTCTGGGTGGGTTTGAACTGACAACCTTTCAGCTAGTATTCCAGCCATGTGTGCCACCCATCCAAGTGCTGGTGTGGTATTGTCGGATGAGCACTTGACCATAAGGTCAGTGTGAACCGCAAGCTGGGCGGTTCACACTCACCGGCTACTCCTTGGAAACCATATACAGGGTCACTGTGATTCTAAAGCTAATGGGCAGCAGCTTAACACCAACATTGTCCGTAGCTTTTCCTTTTTCACAAAGTCAGGGAAATGAAATCCCACAGTTGGTATACTTTTCATTCTGGCTGCTTAGCTTGGCAAAGGTATTTGACATTCATAGGTGGTGGTGTGTGTATCAAAATGTATTCCTTTATAAACCAGACCCAGCTTGCCATAAGCCCCCCTGGCCTGTTGTAGGCATGTGGCTTTTTTCTTCGTTTTGGTGATTTGTAGTAAAGCCGTTTTAAACATCGAACTGTAGGTTGTCTATGTGAACTTAAGTTCAGATTGCTAGGGCTGTAGTAAGTATAGGTTCTGGCTGGTACAAACAGTTGGTTTCAGCTTTACTGAAAGGTTCATGGTTCAAACCCAGCAAATGGTATTGTGGAAGCCCTGGTCATCTGCTTCTGTAAATACGACGTCAGGAAAAGACTGTGGGGTGACATACAGCTCTCTGTAACAGTGGCATTGCCAGACGTTAAAGCTGGCTGCATGGTAATGGTTGGGTTTGGTGGCTGGTAAGTGTACATTTAACCTTTTTGGCATTTGTAAAAAAATGATATTTGGGGTTCTGAAAGTTTTAAATCAACGTCTTACAGCTTACAAACCAACATGGCTAGTGTGCTCTTGCTGAGCGGCCTCCCCTTTCCCCTGGTATTGAAGGGAAAGTTTCTCTGGAGACAATCTGGCTGGCTCTAGGAGACCGCGTGCCTTCCATACAAGGAGAAGAAAGGGGGGCGATTTGTAAGCTGACCTCAGTGCCCGCTTCATCTGGCTCCTGGTGTCAATAAGGCCCTCTGTTCTACGCTGCTGGCGTGGACTGCCTTTCTCCTGTGGGGCAGTACTGAACCACGAGTGTCCAGGTCTGGATCTTACTTGGCCGGGTGTGGTCTGCCCTCCTGGTCACCCTCCCCTGCCCTGGGTCTCTAGTCTTCAGGCAGATGATGCTCAGCAGGGCCAGACTTCCCTTTCCCCCAGGGGGCTTGCTTTCTCTCTCCGGAACATACTGACAGCATTGAGTCTTACTTCTGGTGTTCTCACCGAGGAGTCTTGCCAGGTTTCAGTGCTTTCTATAAATTGCTCTGGTGATGATCACGGAAGGGAGTGGATGGTTAGGGAAAGGTCACATTACTCAGAGGCCCTCCTGTTTGAAAGGAGCCGACTCAGTGATTCATCCCACAAACGCTTGCTGAATGTGCACAGTGTTCCTGGGGGCAGGGATGGTCAACACTCATCAAGAAATGCCTGGTGGAATGGAGGTAGGTGATGATCTGGCTTTAGAAGCCCCCGCAGTGCACCCACCCAGCTGCTTCCAGGAAGGGAGGTCTGGGGATCTGCTGCTGTAGAGATTACAGCTACCCTTGGGCAGTTCTGGTCTGCTACACTGGATTGCTGTGAATGGGCTCAGGCACTTAACCACCAGGTTTATCTGTACACCCCAAGTTCAACATACTCTTAGCTGCTGTGAAGTTGGCCCTTCCCTCTTGTAAAGGAAACCCCACCAGGTCCAGCACTGTTCTCTGATTAGTTGTGGGTTGAACCATTTGAAATATATAGGATTTCCATTGGCTGATTTTTTTGAGACGTTTATTGCCAGGCCTTTCTTCCTAGACTGTCTTAGTCTGGAAGTGCTACTGAAACCTATTCAGCATTGCAGCTGTACGCTAGCCTCCACTGATGGGTGCACTGACTGGCGACGGAACCACCGAGAGCCCACCGTGCCCTCAGTAGTGAGAGTCACAGTGCCGAGCATGGAAGGCATCTGGCTCTACAGATGAGCTTTCACCCTAGGTGGCAGGTCCAAAGAGCAGGGTGGGAGGAGGGCAGTCCTCCTCTCAGGCTGCCTGGCAGTTCCTGGGTATCACCTGTCGCTCATGGAGCCCTGGTGTGGTGCTGTGATAAAGACTTAAACAAAAGGTCAGCTGTTCAAATCTACCAGCTGCTCCTTGGAGACCCCCTCTCCAGGGTCGCTTTCCACCACAGCCTGGCGTTCACAGTGAGCTGAAGCCTTTCTAAAGCAGGGTGCTTCTCTTCTCTTCGCTTGCTGGGAGCTTGCTGGGAAAACCGGGTCTGGCCTCAGAAGGGAGTAGGTGGTATTTTAAGTGGGAAGAGTCAGCCAGGATCAGCCAATGGCAGGGTCCCCTTCGTGACAGTCAGGCTGTGGGCGGCTGGCTGCCAAGGCTCACTCAGATGCAGCCTCCCACTGGCTGGGCTTCAAGTGAGTCACGTGAGCCGCGTGCCCTCCCCGCTCCGGATGAGTAGTAGCTGGAAAGGGCGGTGAGCAATCCCTCCCCGTGACTCAGAAACTATTTTCTGATGGTGACCTCGGTTTTATGAGTAGCTTGTTAATCACAGCTCAAGTGGGAGAAGGCAGCTTAACCCTGTGATGGCTTAGTGTGGGCCAAGTAGCCTGCTTGTTTGAAAAAGGAACGAAACCCACAACAGTTGCCCTGAGATCATCTTGAAGCCTTAAAGCAGAACTATCCCCTGAAGTCATCTTTTAACCAAGTTTAGGGTAACCAGTGATGGGGTCAGTCTAGATAGGAAGCTGTTCATGTTGACTAGGGAGGAACAACTTGGAAAGGAGGCGTGATGGTGGGTGGCTGTACAGTTTGAAGGGTGTCATCAGTGTCCATATAGAAACTGTTGAATGGATGTATGTTTTTCTTGTATACTCTCAACAGCTATAAAGAAAAGGG